CAGAGACTAGCCATGTCAAAAATAGAGTGCAAACAGCTGGATTGGAGGCTTATTATAAACATGGTAGAAGTAATCTTCCAATATACCGGAGTCCAATTACTGGTATGTAGCCTTTCGCCCGGTATCCAGATTACAACAAAAACCGTTATTTGTCCCTTCCATGCAACTGAAAATTGTAAAAGACGATTCAACCATTCAGTTCTAGTTCTGTAAAAGTTCCAGGAGGGACCATTTTTTAAGGAGAGGGCTAACGTCGTGCGAGCAATTTTAGATCAGTACGATCCTGATCTAATCCGTTCTCCGCCTTATTTGGGCCTCGTACGGCTTCCACTTTTCCCATTACCAAGAATGTTCGATAGAATGTCAACCTCTGAAACCCCCAAAGATACTCCTATGGAACTCGACAGTCGTAATAAATAATCATTCTGGAATGCACTAGAGCACTAGACCCTTCAACGAAACATCTCAAAATTACAATTGTTTACGAAAGAAAATGTTGGGTGTCTAGAATATTCGATAATAAGTCTGAAACGGCATATTTTTATGTAAATGACCCAACTTTGTCGTTTAAGGCAGTTCAAGTTGAGAGATCGTTCAATACAGATTAATATTGTTAATATAAATTAGTAAATTACTGTTAGCTCTTAATTTATATTTTTAAATTTACGCGCCACCGACCAACGAGCGCTGCGAATGTTTTGATAGGTCCAGACATGCTGAGTTTACCGAGTAAAGAGTTGGCCACAAGCGGCAATCGCCGATTGTATTCTGACAATAAATGAGATTAATTTAATTATCGTGTTTAAATGTAATTAAAAATGAGTGAGTGATCAAATTTTGATAAATAAATAAACTTAACTAAATGTGATATAAATTATTATATAGGTATTGAGTATAAATAAATTAAGTCATAAAATAAATTAAATAAATAAATGTTACGTTAGATAGGCTAGGAATATTGGGAGAAACAGCAAAAGTTAAAGAAGATTACTTTAGAGTTATACCAAATTTTCAGAAATTTTACTTTTGCTGTTTTTTGCAATATTTCTACTCTTCCATGTGATACCTACATATTTTTTACTTAATATGCATAAAATTTTAGAAGTCTCATTTCTAAAGTTTTTTTTGTGCAGAAGAATAGATTATTCTACATAACCGATTCAAAGATCTACAGCCACGGAATTTTCAAAACGATAAATATACTTTACAATGAGTTGAATAAGGTATAATAGGAACATGCACATATCAGGCAGATACTAATCTTGCTCGTCGTGCATAAATCTGTGTGATGTGATGTATGTAGTGGGGCGAACAGGAGTTGAAATTATCGATGCTAGCTGATAGAGATTTCTCTGTTATGCATCTGTTCTTATTAAACTGTATTTAACTCATTGCTCATTGTAATTTGTACTCTCCGAGTTGAAAATTCCGTTCCTGTATATGCACAATGTCATGTGGTTGATAACTTATTTTGAGTAAAAATATCTATAAGATCTTGTATTTTCAAGTGGAATATATTTCTGAGAAATCTACTGAATTATCCTGAGTTATACTTCCATAAATTATATGTTGGTTTTCTCCCCATTGAGTCCCAAAGATGTTTAATTTCGTTAGAAACTGCTCGAGCAGCGTATAAAGTAGACTGGCAATGTTGTGCATGACCTGGAAATTTAAGAAATGGTTGCCAATTTGACCGCATTTAAAAAGCTTTCATTGTCAAGTCGGTACCACAGAAGGATTCTTCTTTAATCTTCAATAAATTAAGTGTCTTTTCTCAACTCTCATCTAAGCAAATTTAAAAAGGAGGATCGGTAAGAGACTTTATATACCCCGTTCCTAACATGTACAGTATTTCGGCCTATAAGTATAGTTGTTTTGTATGACATATAGAAATCAATCGATGATGATGAATGGAGTTTTCCTCAAGTCAAATGACACCTATCAATCATCTCTAAGTTGCTCCAGAGCACAAATGCAAATAATATAGCCGTCCTTCCCTGTACAAGCTCTTCAGTTCTTAAGGTGTTCACTCGTAAGAGGGTGAACCATTGGCAGCGGAATAACTTTTCTTGGGAGTGGGCTTGTACCTTGCTAGAGTGGAGTGATCTTTAAATCCAATGCGCAAATCGGGTCTACCTTAGCACAATGGGAGGGGCTAAGCCCTCCCCTGACCCTCCTTCCGTCGCTAATAGGGTAAACTATTGGAGAGAGCATTATTGGATTTTAGCCAAGAGACCTCATTCTCGCTGAGGGAACATTCATCAATCCCTGATATTTTGGATATTAAAGGGAATGAGCTCTGTTGGGACCCTTTCCATGTTATCAGGCCCAAATTCTCAGAGTAATTTTCTGAATATGTTACATCTTCAGTATTGTTGCCTTTTTTTTATCTATGTATGCATGTATGGCGAAAGTTCCAGTTTTTGTAGATTCTTGATGAATCAGTATGGGTAATGTGGTGATTATGAGATTCTGTTTTGTATATTTTTATTATATTTGAAATTATAATAAATAGTTTTTGACAAGTAGATCTTAAAAGTTTTATATTTATACCCGATTTGGCCATTTATAGACTTGTACAATTTTTTTTTAGGTTAAGTGTAAAGTCGGAAAGTTTAGATATAGTATATCAACCAAATGTAGTGAGATGGTTTATTGAGTTTATATATTTACCACTTCAACGTGATATTGCACAAAATCAAATAGAAGCTATGAAGAAGAAGACCAAAAAAGAACTAATTAAAAATTGGGAGCATATATTTTCTGGAGGCAAGGTAAGATAAATAATTTAGTCAATATTTGTAATTTGTATAATACTATATAACACAAGGGTGCACCAAACGTAGAAATGGAACAATTCCATTCTAAAATATGTCTATGAATGTGATAATTGAATCTATTTGACATGGAGTGGTAATTTTGCAACTACATAGATTATGTCACTCATAACGTAATAATTTTCTATGATTTTAGTTTAATAATCGATAACCATATATCGTGTACTTGACTAATAGCTGAAAATCATACTAGGTACATTTGGATGGTATTATACAACATAGAATCAATTAAAAACATTTTTAGAAAGAAATTACCACCCTCTAGTGTCCCTAAGAGCGGTGCTATTTTAGATTAACTCTCATTCCTGTTTTCTAACAAATTTTTCAAAAATGCTTTCTACTGTTAATGTAAATTATTGAGATGTCAAATCTTAAAAATATCATGTTACAGTGAAATAATTCATGATATAATCTATTGATTACAAATAAAAAAAAAATATTTACTACGCTTTGTGCAATTATTAAATATTATATTTATTAACTATGCAATTATTGATAGTCCAGATACCACTCATATTATATGTGATACAAGTACGATGAATCCATCCAATCAGCGTTGCCAAGTGTTCGGTAATTTTCGTTTTTATGTGATGTTTTCGCTTTGGAACCATTGTGCAATAGTATACTATGTACAGGTTTTGTATTAAGCTCCGTTCAAAATAATGTACGATCATTGGTATTGTGGGCATTGGATTATTTCACTTTTAGAAAGTGAAGTATGTGTACTAATGCCAAAGAACAAGTTATTTTGTTAAACCGCACTGTATCAGTATTTTGTTTGTTTTTAAAAGAATGTCAAGATTAGTACATTGATGTTATAAAATGATAAGTGTAAATATATACAAAAGTACATTCAGAATGAAAAAAGATTTTTAAAAATATAAAAATACATTTAAAAAATTCAGCTAGGTATTAAATAAAATTCAAATATGAATCGTTGAATTAATTTATATTTAATATAAATAATTTTACACCAATATTCTCTCTCACCAATAAAGCCTAATAATTCATAAATATTTTTTTTTTCAGATTTCTAGATCAATTTGGGAACTGGAATTAGATATAACAGCGCCCCAGATAATATTTGTAGAACAATTTAGTCAACAAAATTCTGCGATGGCTGTGATAGATTTTGGTAAATTACATTTGAGAAATAATATAGAAATGGGAAATAAAACAGAATGCAATAAGAATAATGACAATTCAGATAATAAAAATAGCGAGGAAGATGGTAAGTATTTTAATTTTTCTTGATACCTGTGAATCAATTTTCGTTGAAACCAGTTACTGCTTTGATAATATCCTTTAAAAACTTTTTATTTGCTTGTCTTTAGTTTTTAACTCTTGTTTTAGAAACGTATCTAACACCTTGTTCAACACCCCCTGTTAGTGAAGGCAGTATTTCAGGTGACCAAAACATCGAAGAAAATTCTGAAACTGGCGGGTGTTCCAATTTGTCTTTAAATGAATTGAATCTTCACAAAAAGCTCTATGATTCTTATTGCTTAGAACTTACAGATTTGCAGATTTTAATCGGTAGAGTAAAAGACAACTGGAGATATGCTTTGAATAAAGGATCATCTAATTTACATGTTCTGGA